GCGGTTCAGCCTTTTCTTCACGAACTGGTTTCATTGTCAGCTAGCGTTGCTTGTGCCTCTGAAAGAAAATCTATTCCTAAGATAATATGTGCTTGCAGATTCTTTACTATGAAAAACATAACCTTTACTTGTTCGTCCTTGATACGGACATACAGCGGTAATTTACCTATACACTTACATCTTTCTCCTTGCGCAGCTAACACTGTCGTATTATCCGAATTATATATATGCGATATTTACGAAAATACTTCCTAAAAAAATCTTCTGCCACACAGGAACACTGCGCGCCTGTATCCAGGAGTGCGGTGGCTGGGATATTATTCACCAACACTTCAATCTTCGGAAGAGTCAAATGTTTCACCATTACTGTATTTAACTTGAAAGAAGAGGGGTTTTCGTGGCCTTCGGATTTCCGCACCCTCCCGTCAGCAGAAATCCGTTTTAGTTTAATATATTTTTCATTTCCGTGCTTTCCTTCTTTTTCCACTCTCCTTGAGACTTTTTTTCCTGGATTGCTATTGAACTGTCGACGTTCGCCGGCTGTTTTTGAATGCTCGGGTTTCCTTGCCCACTGATTCGCTTTGCTTCCGTAGCCGTGTGCTTGAGTTTGCTGTAGTCTTGGCGCACCAAATTGGTTTCGTTGTTGATATTGGCGTCTTCTTTCAATGTCCGCCGTTCTTCTACTTTCAAACTGGATTGCTAGCTCAAATAACTTTTCCAGTGTAGTCGGATTTCTTAATTCAATAAAGTCTTGCACTTGGGGCAGTAACCTCGGCAAAATCACTTGAATTATCTCAGGATCCGGACGGTTTCCATACAAGAGTTTGAAGACGTGAATTTTTCTTAAAATAAAGCTTGAGAGATTTTCGATTCTTTGCTGATATATGCTGAAAAGTTCCGTTTCTAATTTCGCACGATCCCTTACGACAGGGAAGGCTTTTACTAGGGCAGTCTTGAAATTCTCGTAAGTATAGGTGGGACTTCCTGCTTGACCCAAGAGACTTCTGCCTATACATTTGAACCAATTAAGCGCTTGGCCCCTCAAAGCGCTGGTAGCTAAGGTAACTTTTTGAAACTCGTGCACGGGGTAGAGCATGAAGTGGTCATCCAATTTTTCCAAAAAACTGGTTACCGGTGAGTTTCCATTAAATGTTGCTTCTGGTTTCATCGAAGCGCGCATGGTCTGGACGATGTAACCAAATCCTTCCAGGGCGGCAGCTGGCATTTCTGGATTCTGAGCCGCTTCTGCAGGCAGCACAGGTTCTTCTTGAAACTCGGCCATGGTTATTCTTCTTCGTTGGGCGCCACTATCAGGTTCAATGTTCCGTCTTACTTTCTTTGGGAACATGCAAGGACCTGACTCGGAACAGAGAGCTTACTAAAGCTATGTTCAATAAAACTGTGGGAAGTAGACAGGATACACAAGAAGGGTATACAAAACCCTTTATTTTTCTCTCTTTACAATAATTTCCGTACTTCGGAATACAGAGACCCACTACTTGTGGTCTAAACGTAAGAATATAAAAATATTTAACTAAACTCTAACTTAACTTTGGAATAATAAAAGGGCCTACGTGGAAGATTGGCCGTATATTAACAGGAAGCCGTATGTAGTACAGAGAACTGTTGAACACTACAATACGTTTAAAATTATCAACGAGGATTAAACCTCTGGCCTGGAAGGCAACCAGCAACTGAGTAAAACTTCTAAGGTAAGCGGCCTTCTTCGACTATCTCCTTCCTCTCTTCTCTCTTGGCAAAAAGCCACAACTTAAGCATTGGCGTTCGCCAGACAAATTTGCATAAATAAGTTAAAGCTTTTAATTCTGGCCGGAAGTAGAAAATAAGAAGTGATAGTAAAGATTTAAAATAAAATAAACGTTAGTAAAACTTAAGATCCTTACAAAAGAAATGGAATTTCTTCCGTAAATATCTAAAGTAAAACTTTCTGAGTAGAGATGAGCTGACATTGATAATTTTTTTTCCATTCTTCTCATTTAAAATTCTTCATTCTAAGAGAATCCTTCTACAACCATAAACCCCTTATTGAAATCTGGGGCCATTGAAGGAACTAGGTTAATATATATTTTTCTTCGTTTGCAATAATAAATAGATCTTGTTTTGTTGTAGTTATTTAGATAAATTCATGCTGTATTAAAGGTCACAGTGTGTTCCATCTCCTGCTAAAAGATTTTTATACAGAATTCTACAAATTGTTCTGCGTTGAGCCATGTGCTTCAACGAAATCTGGTGAACATTATGATTTTTATTATTTTTAATTTCTAAATCTCGGTTTATTATTTTATTTATTGTTGTATTTAAACACTTTTGAATTGATTTCTGCGTCGGCGTATTTACTCTTTTAACAAATGATTTAAATTTAGAAACAATGCGTAGCTTTTTCGAGTATTCATTTGGATTCTTTGTTTTATGAATAAGTAATGACTGATGTTTTTTCCTTTTCTATTAATAATATTTCTCATTTTGCACTTAGAAATTTACCATGCGTTTTACAACGTTTTTGAATTATGTAATTGGAATATTTCTCTACGAAACCCAAAAAATTTATCCTTCAATGCACAGCCTGTCTACAAGCAACATTTTAGAAAAAGCATATATTTAAAAGTAGCGGGTGATATTTCTCATTTCAAATAATAAGCTGTTGCCAGAGATGTTTATTCCAAAACATTTGCTTTTTTAAAATTGTTATAAACATCGTACTAGAAATATATAATCCTCTGTAGACACTCTTTGTAAAAGGCAATGTTGTAATTAACGAGAAACATTCCTAATGCTATGTTTTACAGATGTGATACAGAATACTTTGCTTTTATCGTGTTTTCCTCTAGAATCAAGAATTTTGTAATTCAAGAAACAAAACATTCTCCAATTTTGGATTCCAGATTTTCTCGTAAATACTAGAGATTTCTTAACAAGGAATTCTTGGCAACAATCCTTAAGACAAATCAAGTTAATTCCGTTCTTACTGCGGAAGGGTTTTTTGGCATTTCCAACAATAATTATATAACTCTCGGTTCCTGACTCCTAATCACCTTTTCTGTAATGTCCTTGATTTAGGTAAATCTAATCCACTTTGACGAGAGGATTTTAGATACATTCAGGAAAACAACAATGATATTTCCCTGACTATAAGTAAACACTGGTACTGAAAATCAAAAGTAGTCATGACCTCTAAGGCAACTACCTCCAGAGAAGACCAAAATCATCTAGAAGAATGGGTCGTCTTCTCAGAGAGCTTTCATTATTTGTACAGAAGAAATTCCACGCATATAAGACTGCATAAACAATTAGTCTTCTCTAAGACGATCATTCCGGTTTCCAAACGATTTTAGTCTTTTGCTGAAGTGAGCTTCGTAAATATCGATGCTTATTTTTTTAAAACATACTGGTCAGGCGCCGCTGCGGCCGAAAGGTTGTAGAGACATTAGGATTTTATTGGAGGCCGGAGAGATGAAACATTAGCTACTGCCTTCGCCGGGAATACCTTCGGGCCTCTGGAATACCAGCCCAGCGCGCACAACCACTACACCACGAAGGCACGCTAGGAAAGCGGGAGAAATATACTCCCCTTTTTTAAGGGCGACTGAGGTTTTTAGGGTACCCAATCGCCAAATCCTGGGTGTGGAGAAAACTTATCCAACAACCTTTTAGTTCGGGCGCCACTGTAAAGACATATGGTTAATTGGAAAACCCAGGTAGATGAAGCATTAGCAACCGCCTTCGCCGGGAATCGAACCCCGGACCTCTGAAATACCGACCCGTGCAGAACCACTACACCACGAAGGTAAGCTAGGAAGGCGAAACAAATACCTTATATACTATACCTTATATAGTAAGAGTTGTTAGGTTGATGGTGATGCTAGGCATTTTATGGTTGATTGTAGTTTAACAGCCCCTATTAGACAGATTTTTTTAAATTACTGATTTTAATGTGTCATTACTTTTAAAGTTTTTAAATCATATTCTATTGCTTTAATGAAGTTTATCAATGAAAACAGGGCGCTGGTAGGAATCTTCTGTTAAAATTGAATTCTGTATTTATATGGGTTTTAGATATTTGTGGTATTCAATGTTGTGAATTTGTGTTTATGGATTTTTTAGTGTTTGCTTGTTGGTTAGAAATTTTGTGTTAAATGTGCTTACTTATTTTTGATTTAGTATTTTTGTTTGTTGTTTGGGGGTGTCTGGGTTATTGCCCTCGTTTGTGGAGACACGGGACCCCTTCTTTTGACACTCATGTCCAGGTGGGCTGAAGGGAGCCTCCAATTCTTACTATTCTTACCTTATATACTGCCCTTTTTTAAAGGGTGACTGAGGATTTTAGGGGATCCAATTGCCAAATCCTGGGTGTGGAGAAACCTTATCCAACACCCTTTTAGTTCGGGCGCCATTGCAGAGAAATTAGGTTAATTGGAAAAACCGGAGAGATGAAAAATTAGCAACCGCCTTCGCCGGAAATCGAACCACGGACCTCCTTGAACCCTGGTAGTTCCGTCCGAAGTTAAAATCTCGCCAACGGACTGGCTGCATGGGCATACGAGCCTGCTTTCCTTAGAAAGACCTCCACGAAGGCATCTCTCCCTTCCGTGTAGTAACTTAGGGTGGAATCCGGCATACAAAATAGGTTAGGTTATTTGAATATGACAAGGCACACGAGTGTTGTCTGCGTAAGGGGAGAAATACTTTCATGGAGGCCTTTTTAAGAGAAAGTGGCTCGTATATACCTTACACATGCATATTTAACAGACACTTAGAATTACATAAATTTTTGCTGTGATAAAGTTTTGCAAATTTCGAAAAACGAGAAATACTTTCATGACTCGTATAATTCACAACCTGTCCTAATACTAAATAGTACAGGAAAACTAATGAATACAAAATATTCAGAAACATTTTTTTCTCTTATTATTCTGTGAAACAATTGTTTTATTAATTAATTATAATTTATTAACAAAGTAATTATATATCTGATCCAACAGGGGACGATGATGACGATGATGGAGACGAAGAAAAAATGCCTTCATGTTCTGATTATGTCATGCACTTTTTTACCATTTTCTGGAAAGTCCTTTTTGCTTTCGTTCCTCCAACAGGTAAGAAATTTAATTAATTTTAATTAATTAATTTAAATTCATTTAATTATTTAATTAATTGTAATTATTTATTTTAATTATAATTTTATTTAATTTTAGTTATTTATTTAATTATAAATTTATTTAATTATTTAATTAATTTTAATTATTTATTTAAATTAACTTACTTCAATCATATGTAACGTAACTAAAATTTTAAATGGGAAAAATTTAATTTATTATGTAAAATTTTTCTCGCCTGTTCTGATTAATTTCCTATGGTTTTATTCTACTTATTATTTGTCTTCCTTAATTTGCTAATGTTACGGTAATATACCAAAAATATGATTGACGAGCCACCAAAAAAGACGCATACCCCTCCAATATATAAACCAAAATTTTTAAATCTTTCAAAAAGACTTCATACATTTTAAATTAAATATTGCATTTCAATGTAATAATGTTAGAAACACACAGGGAAACATATCTACATATGAATGCAAAACATTAAAATGTATGAATTTAATTGCAAACGTATACTATTTAACTCTTTAGAACACATAATTTAATCTATATTGTACCAGAGCAAACAACCACTGCATTCAAGAAATACCAAAATAGTTAAATGTCGTAATAGAACCAAGCATCTGAAAGCATTATCTGTTTTGTACATAGGATGCTTCCAAAGTTCTAGAAATTTTTTGATTTCGTTAATTTTCATCAGTCCTACAAAAAAAATATTCAACAACCTCAATTCATTGAATACAATTATACTAACGAAAGATTGATTTCTTTATTCTTTTTATGGCTTACTGGTGAATTAAACAAATTTTATTGTTATCTCAAATAAGCTTTTCAATGTCTCCTCAAACCACTTAATATGGCATAGTTAAACTCTTAAATCAAAATGAACGTAAAAGTGTTTTTTAGCCAAGGGTGCTCTTAATCTGGAAACGGCATTTTGAGTCGAATTATTATACACACGGCTTTATCACTTTTCAAATTGTTGCCACCAAATATTATCGCCCTGTGTTATATTTTAAGAAATTAAAGAATGAAGAATATGCATGAATGTATGTATGTTTCTCTCACTGTAAAAAAACAACGATACCTAGAGCCATCAAATTTTGAGTAACGTATGTTCTCCACCCGAATATAGGCACCTGGAAGTCGGAATCTTAAATTTCGAATTTGTTTTATTATCTATATCGTATTTTTTAAAACTTTAACGAATTTTTGATTAAAACGCTCAACAATTTGAAAGTGAGCAGTGGCAACACACTGCGGAATAAAATATTTTTATCTCCAGCGCGCGAGACTGTCTATCAGGAATTCTAAAAGATATGTTGCTTTTAAATATTTTATCTCAAATGGGCGTTAGCCTAAATGCTCTCGAAATGTATACGCATGTGCTAATGAAAACAAAGTCTGTTTGAGAGCAATAAAAAATCTGAAAGTTTTCAGAATTCTTTTTTCAAATGTGGGAAGAGAATACTCTTCTAAACCTGGCAATTCAAACAATTGAAGCACTAAGCGATATTACTTATTATAAGTAAGGAATATTACACTGGATAGCGGCATAAACATATCTAGACTTGTCTCATAGCATTGCCTATAATTTCTAGGAATTGACCTAGAGTTCAGTTCCTAAAACTTTGGGAACATCTTACATAAATCATGACAGAAATGTTCTAGTAATTAATATTAAACTGCAGAGTGTTAAAATTTTAGACATTTTTTTGGTTGTTTTTTTAATTTAACTTTCGGACATTCGTGCTTCTGAATTTAGCAATAATATCTTGTCTTTTATTTTACTATTATTTTTGCATAAAATGTGAAAAGTAGAGTACTGAATATATAAACCTACTCTTGGAAAATTATCATTTCTTAAAACTCTATCATATTCTTTTGTCGAACTGAGCATGGAATAAAATTGGTATTTGTTACATTAGAGAAAAAATAGAACTGGATAAAAAATTTAATATCTCATAAACTCTTTTCATTTTCTAGATTTTATGAATTTCAAGTAAATACTATGCATATATAAAAACAATATGACTTTTCCATATTAATAAATTTAACAATGCAGCTTAATTTCGTGAGCATTGCTTGGTCTACATTATTTTTAAGAAATATGGGTCATTATTGAAGGTCACTTCAAATGCTATATTTGCGTAAGAAATGTTCAATTAAAAGTCCTCTTTTATTTACTTTCAGTAGCACACCTTTCAATCAGTAGTATCCAGAGGAGCAAAGCGAAAACGCGTGTCATGCCATCTGTCGAAGAAAACAGTAATAAAATGTAAACACTTTCAAAATTCTAATACCTTAGCCCAGGGTTTCCAAAACCTCATTATTATTATGAAGGGTTCCTAATTACTTGTCTGCGATGAAACGTTGAGGAACCTATAAACTACGTTGCGACTAGCTACGTAACGTTGAGGTTGCCGAGTGAACTACGTAGAGACTTATCGCTGAGTTCAAATAACTATAACGTAGACTCGAGAAGGGTTGAAATACCCTTTTATTCACTCAAATAAGAATAACAGTTGGCTCCTTTTTGGGCTTACAGGAAAGCATCCACTCAGTATTTAACTCATAAGAAATAAAGAACTAAATTATAATTAACTAGCCGAGACTTAGCCAAAGCTAGACTTAGCCAGAAGCCGAACATGCGCCATCAAGGACTCCTAGCACTCTCTCTCGAAGTTAGTTAAACCTTCCTCATATACTTCTCCTAGCTCATTTGCATTCAGCGTGATTCTAAAAGCTCCTTCTGATAGGGATTTATAAGTGGAAACAAGAATTGATAGGAAAGGGTATAAGGTATTTCTCCCCCTTCTTGGCATGTCTTCGTGGTGTGGTGGTCTGCGCACTGGGCGCGTATTCCAGACATGGAACTCAAATTGCATTCTTTCTGCATTTATGCTAGCTTCATAAAAGCACTATAATTTCCTGCTTCCACACGAAGGGTTCTTAGAATGAACATTTTCATTGCAGTATCCATCTTATATTGCAAATTAAACACAGTTACATTATTGAACTCTAATGAAATATTTAAGTTATTAAAAAAATCTGAAAGCTTTCACATTAAATATTACATCCAAAAGGACTTTTTTTACATTTACATACACATACACGTTTCGAGAGCATTTGGGCTAACGACCCTTTGGGGTAAAAATATTTAAAAACAGCATATCTTTAAAATTTCCGATAGACCGTCTCGAACAAGGAGATAAAAATGTTTTATTCTTTACAGTGTTGCTACAGCTCGCTTTGAAATTTTTGAAATTTTTAATCGAAATTTCGTTAAAATTTATATATACTAAAACAAAATATAAAATAGATACTAAAACAAATTCCATATTCCAAATTTTGGCTTGCAGGTGCCCATATTCGGGCGGAGAACTACGTTACTCAAAATTCATGCATATTGCGTAATGCATGGGCGTATTCGTGGTTTTCCTCATGTGTTACGTATATACGAGCCAGTTTCCCTTAGAAAGTCCTCCACGAAGGCATCCCTTCCCTTAGGCAGATAACCCTCGATTGCTTTACCATAATTAAATAGACCTTAACGGACTAAGACCTGTTGGCTGCAGGCGCATCGTTTTCCACATTGCGAAGAATTCATGTAATAACTCAAGGATTTATTCAGTTTATAAAGGTCAATTGGTATTTCTGCAAGTGTCGTTAGGTGATACATGATATGATAATTATTTTTCCTACCATTTGGCTTTGCCATTTTGAACATTTTATTTTAAATATAAAAATTTGGAGCACGAATCTTAAGTCCGAAAAGGCGAAATTAACAAATCTTCGATAACTAATCGTAGTTGAAAGCTTAGTCATGATTTTGACTTTCGGCCTGCAAAAATTATCCAAAAAAATTCTTCCATTGGTAAATTGGACTTTTTGTAACCTTTTCATATTCACAAAGATTTGTCTTGTTTAGTTAATGACTTTAAATCCAATCCAGTACTTCCTAACATTTCTAAAATTCCATTAACTTAATTTTTTAACTTTCGCTACTGTTTCTGCCGACAGATGGCGCTATCTTTTCGTTCGCTTTACTCCTTTTGGATATAAATGCAACCGTGGCTTTCTCTCTCCTCCTCTTTGTTGCAGATTTCTTTGTTCTTAACAAAGAGGCACCTATAACTGTTTCTCCTCGAAATCAATAGACTCTACGCTACACACAGTTCGTAAACTATTATACCTATCATAATTGTTTAGCTTAAAATTATTTCTAGTGTTAAACTGAAATCTAGTTGCAGAGACCGTACTGCAACATATTTTTAGTCTTACCAATTTTCATATTTTTCAATCTTCAAATTATTTTTTAACTTTTTGACTTTAATGGTTAACTTTTTGATGTGTTAGATTGGAATCTAAAGTTTAATTTTCTTTTCTTTTTTAATATTTCCTCATTCTGTCTTCGTCTTAATTAGTACAGTTAACTCTGCGATTAGCTCCGATTATGTCGGGAAGACGTCTGTGGTTAACTTAAAATCCCAGTTACTCTACGGACAGTTAAAAACAAAATAAAGATTATCTTGTATTGTGAGTAACAAAACCTTCTGTTGGAAATTTATCTGTACTTTCAAGCAGTTTAAACTGGAGAAAAAGAATTCTAAAATTCACATGAGCTAAATTTACATGACTATATAAAATAAGTATTTAGGAAAAAAAACAAAAGTTTTATTTATAGTGCAAATCTCAGCACATTATTAATGATTGTAAAATGGATTTATTTTTACAATTGAGTAAATTCGCTTTTGAGGCATGATTTAATAACGTTTATGCGTTGTTTTTGCTTTTTAGGTATGTGATAGTATTTTTCCATAAATCTGCAATAAGCAAACTTAAATTTTTTACAGGCTAAGGTTAGTCTGTTTTCGGTTAATGAGGAGTTATTGTTATTTTATAAACTAGCAAATATTTTATCCTCGTATAACGGAAAGTTTCTGATACCTCGTTAAGTAAAAGTTTTTCCCCTATATTTCTTTCCATTTAATTTT